GTTAGAACACAGAGTAAAAAAGGTTAGTATATTATTAAGAATCAAAATGCTATACAAATCTTTGAGGAAGCGCATTCAAAGCTAAATTCTAAACAAGAACAAGCTTTCAAGACTATATTATAAAGAGTCGACTATAACGGGATTATTCTTTGTAGATGCCTCCAGCGAAATCGAAATAATATTTTTATGTCATGCATTGCTTGCAAACATCATATCAAGAGGCATGATATTATTAGGAATAATAGCAAGTGATGTACCAACAACTATTTTATTATGAGGCCACCCACTTTACATTTGATATATCTCTTCAAACAACTTAATTGACCATCACAAATATATCAAAGCAGAGCAATTGTGCTAAATTTATAGGGAAAACAAAAATGATAATATGTGATGAAGCACTTATGGCTAAATATCAAACGATCGAAATAATTGCCCGAAATTCTGAAGATATATTGGATATTAATGAATCGTTTGATGAAAAATTAATGGTTTGGGAGGTAATTTATGTCAAGTACTACCAGTAATTCCAGAATTGACAAAAACATAGACTGTAAAAGCTAGCTTGCCAAAGTTATACTTTGGCATCAAATGAAAAAGATTCAACTAACAAGAAATATAAAGTAAGAACAGATCCAATATTCAGTGCCCTCTCGCTTCGTATCGGAAACGAAGAAGAGCATCCAATAAAATATGATTTGGTTCTTCATGAACTCTTTGTTATCAATCCCAATGGTAATAGTAGTGCATTTAATAAAAGAAATATTTTTATAATTAGATTAAAATGTAATTTGTACAAATCACATGATAGAATTAAAAAGATATAGTAAATTGTTAGTTGCACCGTATATATAATAGAATAAGTTAAAATTGATCTTCCATTGTATATAGGTTGATTTTGAAGAAAAATATGCCCGTCATGCTACTAAAAACTTAGATACGCCGAATAACTTATGTAATAGCAGACATATGGTATATAAAAGTTTTGACAATAACGACATACGTGCAAAAATTATGATACTGGTCAATGTGCTTCTAAGTATATTCTTATCCTTCAATTCAACTTTCGTCTTTCGAAACAAAGGAATATCCTTTTAAATTTGTGTGAAAATAATTTTTAGTATGTTTATATTTTGTAAATATAATAAATAAAGGACAATGACAAACATCCTAAATATTGGACTATATTTATCGCGATATGTTTTCTTGCACGAACAACTATATGTTGCACTTCAAGAGAGATATCAAGATCGACAACGGGAGTTCTGATTAAGGCAGAGCAACCAAAGTATGAGGAGGAAACATACACAAAAAATATTGTCCACAAAGAAGGGTTCGTTAAGATACCATCACATTAAATACTGTTAAATTATAACACATAATTATCTAACTAACATGATAATATTGATAATTTATGTAAGTTTTGATGATGTCCTTTTATTTTAAATTTATGTATTATGCTAATGTAATAATATTTTTCGCTATTTAGATGATTGTTGTATTATTATACATAAAATTTCTCTCATTAATTAAATTTTATTGTTTCTTCATATAAATAAATATTTAAATCATCACGTGCCATTATTAACGTGCAACGCACGTTCATAGATACTAATATTTTGATAAACGCTAATGAGAATAGAGTTAATATTATGAAGAAAAAAATTCACAATATTTCAAGAGGTAAATAATCAATAACGTCAATTGACTTATATAAATTAGTCATGTCACGTGAGGGAAAGAAGATTAAACACGGAATAATAATTCTTTTATCTAGTTTCAAATTAACTTTTTAAAAAAGTATTAGGAGTATAATTACATTTATAAACAACCCTATCTTCAAATAGAATTACACTTATTACCTAACACATTACAATTCTTCCAATATATTTCTTAAGACAAAATGTGGACCAAAAAAGAACAAAAAAAGAAAAAGAAAAACAAGCTTCTTAAAATAAATAAAAATGTCAGCAATATAATGGAGAATATACCAAAAATACCCCTGACAAGAACACTTGTCTTTCCAACACATTGACAATAACTATCACCATAAGTTTTATGCACTTTTTTTTTTAGAAAAAAGGAAAAGATAGAAGGATCCACAAGGGAGAATTATGCAAATTAAAATGGTCCCCTAGTTCCTTTTTACAAAATTATGTTTGGGTAATGTGCTTATCAATTATAAAGTCAACAACCATTTGCCACATGCAAAGATGAAAAGATATTCAAGCAAAGTACCTCCACTTTGAAATATGTTTCACCTTTTTATTCTTCACAAAGGAAGCTTTTTGTCATGTGACAATTCTTGATTAAGGGCAGTCGGTGTACTAAATATTTCGTATTCATGCGAGTCCAGAAAAGGACCGTACCCCAAGAAGTATAATATAGACCGTCTACCCTGATACAAGCATCAGTGGCTGATTCCACGACTAAAACCGGTGATTCCATTGTTCCAACCCGTGATGTAGGCAGTCTGGTATACGGAGGAAGAAATTATTTATTCTCGAAAGATATTCATTGTCTAAACATAACTATCAAAAAGCGACACACTCGGTTGAAGGGGTTTATTGATGGTTTTTTCGTCAAGTAGAAGTGCTTAAATGAAAAACTCGCAAATTAGTAACTAGCTAGAAAAATTTAAGGGATCGTAAGGTCATTCAACATAAAAGTTAAAAATCGTGACATATTAGGATTTATGTCACCCATGAGACTGATGCTCTATTTCGCAATAAGTAAAACGTCTTACCTTACGCTTCAACTTTTAAGACACAGTAGCCATTTATAAGAAGAGAATTGATTAACTTACTAAAAGAAATCATTTGGATAAGTTTCATCTTATCTTGGTTCTGATTGCTGTCAAACAGTCAAAGTCCTAAAGTTTGCAAGGAGAAATTTAACATTTAAAGACTTTTCATGTTACTCACAGAATATAAATATATAAAATTTTGGATCTGTCAATAGTAACTTAACCTTCCTAGACGGCATCAGGCATCCAGTCTAGGTAAAAAAAAATCATAAAAAACAACACATTTTTTGGATTCAGTGTCCAACACAGGCAATAACAAGTTTTGCCACTTAGCCATTGGGCTTCTGACAACTTAAACTGTCATTAATTTTCTATTATATATCTCTGTAATTGAGTTGAATTACCTATTTAATTTCCTTCAAGTTTTTCATTGACAGTATAAAAGTGCAGTTAGATATATAATCTCTTTCTATGTGTAGGGTTCAAGAAACTGTAATAAGTTATTTCTAGGACTTGAATTCATAACCTCCTATCTATACGACTACAACTCTTATCGTTGCACCAAAGTTTCGCTTCTTTTACATAATAATATGATTTCTTACCATTGCACCAAAGTTTCTCAGCAATGGTAAAATAAGGAACATTCCTCTTTAACATCACATAATTGGCTCGCGTAAAAGCAAAAGAAAGAAAGTTGACCATTAATAGGGGCCTAATGCGTGTACCGGACACCCAGAGGAAAACCAAAAAAGAGAAAAGGTGACCAGGAGTGTCATATCACTTTAGCATCTTCACTCTTGCAACTCCTTTAAGCTATTACATTTGGACTGGGGCCCTCCTTCCCTGGTTCTTTTATACACATGGAGTTCCTACTATATCCAAACCTAACTTATACACTACTATGGATATAAAAAGACTTTTAACAATCATACAAATATGAGATTCTCTGAAGAGAAACAAATTCCTATGTAAAATTGCCATGTTGCTATTGTTTATTGGTTCATATCCACATCTGCCCTTTAACTGGCACAGTCTTCAATGAAATGACAGTGCTGCATTTACTTAGATTCAATCAAGAGATCATCAAGCTATTGCAGCAGCAAGGGAGGTTTATTTTGGTAAACCCTCCTCCTCTTTTGCATAAGTCTTTCCGGGACATCTGATAAAACTGTAACGATACAGAGAAGATAAGCATGGCCCCTGCGCAAGGATGACACAAATCGAGAGATGGTCTCCTCTTTTGTACAGTGGAAGTACCTTACTTTAAGCTGAATGACAATAAATATTACTCACAGTATTCCTATTTCAGTATGAAGCTACAAAATTGGATACAAATATTTTGAACTATACAAGCCCTGAAGAATCTCTTCAAATGCTGGAGTACAGACGAGTGAATTCAAGTTGCTTTGAACAGTACGAATCAGAAAGAGTACCATCGACACTGAAATCCAACAAATATTCGTAAAACTAATGGATCTGCTACTTTTCTTCAGTCAAAAGCAAATCTTTTAACTCTCAAAGGAACATGTTTCTTCATCTTCACTAAAGTTACACGGCATCTCAGCAGCAGTCCTATATATAGAAAATACAAATGGAGTCATTGCAAACATAAAGAAATTTTTCAAAATCTTTGGTTTTGCTTGCAAAAAGAAGAACACATGATGACTGCTTAATAAGACATACTAACCATGAAATTTTCAAATTTTTTGGTTTATTCTTGCAAAATAGTACATCACCTTGCTTTTATAATTGGTCATAGCAGGTAGAAAGTCTCGTAAGATAACATCTCAACTTAGTAACTACCAAGAAGATAAATGCACATGGTACTACAAAAATATGAGCCTGCACTTTGTTCATGAGTCAAACTTCTAGAGAAGGACCGAGATAAGCAAATAAAGGTCTTAAATCAGTTAAAAGATGGCATGACACACAGCCATTATTCTTCTGCACTTCAAATTGCCATTTTATATTTGAAATTGAATAAGAGAATGCATTCAAACTTCAAAGGGTAAATTATGACATCTAATAACATGATCATCTCACAATGGAGTTATATTCCAAGAATCCTATTAAATAAACGTGTTAAAAATACAGATGCAGATTCATGCATACTAAGTGGTGTAAGATCAAGTACTTTAAGTTGGTCTAACCTTATCCGATGATTTGTCTGCAGTGGCATTCCCATCATGGGTGCTTTCCTCAAGTACTCTTGATGGTCAGGAACTTCATCCATTGGACGATGTACAACCATCTCTCCAAGTATCTATGTAATATAGTGTAACTTGTCTAACCTGCCACCATCTCTCCAAGACTCGAACATAAGGGGCACGTTAAGTATGGCTATATCCAGCAAATGGAAAAATAGGACTACTCTTAGCTGAGTAACTTGAACCACCAGTATATAAGCATATAAAATAATTCTAATATAATCACGTCCGAAATTGGTCAACAACTTTCAAAAGGCTATAGGTTTCAGAATCTGGCCTCGCCCCTCCAAGAATCATTCTTTTAAGCAGATTTGGATCATATACCTTGCCCTTAACATACGCCTTAATTAACGTATTGTACACAAAGGTATACCTAGTATAATTTGCTTTCTTCAGTTCTTCAAACAACTTTTCAGCATTCTCTACATCACCATTATCTGCAAATATATCGATTATTGAAAGAGTAGTCTCCAACCATGGAGTTGATCTTTTCACCTTTATGCTTGCTGCCATATCCATCCCCAATTGAAGAGTTTTAATAGCCTCCTTAATTAACCCTGCTCTCAAGCAACCAAGAGCAAGATGCCGATAAGTAATGGCATTTGGCTTGCACCCACTTTTCTCCATCTCCTTATACAATGCAGTGGCTTTGGTGATAAGTCCATGTCTGCAGTATACAGATATCAAGGAATTGAACTGCTCATTTGACTTCAAAGAATTCCTTGATTTCATTTCGGACCATAGCTCTTCAGCACGACATATATCTCCGGTCCTACCAAATGCTTCGATCGCCAGGACATAACTCTTAGACCTAACATGGGACAGCTCCATAATGATGCCCCATATTCTCTCCAAATCATTCCGCTTCCCCAAATACCCATGAAGTATGATAAGAATGTCCAATGTAGACCAGTTTCGTCCAGTTGCAGACTTCTCAAGAGCTTCAACATAGGTCTCACAAACTGTATACAACCTAGCCACAGCATGTGCAGTGGCCAATATGCAGTATGATACCTCATTCGGTTCAACTTCTGCTCTCTTCATGTCACCAAATACTTTTAACAGGCGTTCAATATTGTGTTCATTTGCTTCTATCTTGAGCAGAATATTAAAGGTCGAAACATGTGGAATGACCTTATCGGCTTTCATCTGCGTCAGGATTTTAGGTATGGACTTCTTGCGGCTTGGGGAGGAGTGGAGAATAATGAGATGGTTGAACACCAAATAAGATATGGGATGACCCAGCTCTCTCATTTTCTTCATATATGCTAGTGAAAGCCTTATTAGGCCTCTGTTCAAGCATCCGAGTATAAGATTGTTGTAAAGCAACTCATTTTGGAACTCAGATGGTATTCGTGAGAAAAGGCTTTCAGCTTGTGATATCCCATGAAGCTTAGAAGTGAATTCTAGTAAATATGAGTAATCTAGTTCCTTTGGTCTGTAAGGTCTTTCCCTTATAACCCATTCCATCACCTGTGAAAAGTAAACCACAGAAGATTAAGAATACCGCTCAATATCAATATAATTACATTTGAAGTTCTAACTGAGCACCAAATTTATACCTTTTTTTTATTGTTAGCACCAAATTCTATCAATTTAATTGATAACTGAATCTAACAATCAAATGCAAGTGAATACAGCCAGATTAAGAACCTCAAAGATTGTCAATAGCAACTACAAACGAGCTTGATCTGACTTTATGATAAGTAAGACTTGAGAATGAGCTCAACAACAGTATAGACCAAATTCAGTATGCTGAAAATGCCAGAATAGCTCACAACATACCACTCTGCAGCAGCTTTACCTGAAACATGTCACAGAACTGTGCAAGGCAAAGTATTCCTCTCTCCCTAATACCATCACTACTATTACCCCTTAGACTTAGATTTCTCAAACAAACATATAGAGTAACTATAGTGATTTTCTCAGTAGGTTGAATATTTCACGTAATTCATAATAGGTAAAATGCCCATCTTCAGATTTGGCAAGAGGGGGCAGAGTAAAAGAACCTCAAGACCGCGCTTGATGAATTTGAGCTTGCGCAAACGATTGATAGTATGGAAAATGTCACCTCTATGAATAGGTAGACCATCACCCATCCAGCTTTGGAAAGCGGATCCGATGGACTCTCCTTTGGGTACACTTTCAATTCTGTGACTTAAGCTGTTCCTTGTTGCCACCATTCCCTGATCTATAAACCTTTCTTCTCTTTTTGATATTGAGTTCTCATTTGCATCGGATACTTTTGAGCAAAAACTGTGACATGAATGAATACTTTGTTTGTACAAAGATATAACAACTGTTGGATGAATTGCACTAATGATCCGATGTTGCCGCAAAATGGTTATGAAGTTCATTGTCGATATGTCAAACAAAATATACTTTACTCATCAGGACTGCTTAATGGAATGAATTGTTCTGAAATTATGTATTCAGCGCCACTAGCTCGACAGAAACCATTAGAGGGAACCTGCCACGGGTTGATAAAAACAAAAGATCAGGAGTCATTTTGGCTTGCAAAACCAGTAAATAAAAATAGTTTCTAGCTCTCTGATGACTCTATTTTTAGGACAGATCTTATTTACAAAATGCATTGGATTTAGATACAATCAATCAATACCCAGAGCAAAACAAATCTCCTATCCTACGAGTTTATTATAATTAGTACTAGAGCACAGAAAACTACGCGAGGAAAATATTACACTACTTAAGATTGACTTGCCGGCTAACCTAAAAAAGACTTGGAATAGCATACAGATTTACAACTAATCTCTCATGGATTTATTGGTGCTGCACTTTTTTTCTTGGCGGGAATGACTTATGATAGAATCCGTCTTGTTTATCTTGACGAAGAATTGGAGCAAAAACTGTTAAGTGGATATGCTGTATGATTTCACCGACGTTCTCATGCATTACATATAATCATTTGTTTCTCTATTCGAATAGGCATGTGAGAAAATGAATAACATTTGAATATGATCAGATTAAAAAAAAAACAGGGTCTTAAAGTTCTAGTCTAACAACTTAAGCATAAAATAAACACATATATATACCAAAATAGTTCACTCTTATTAGAGTTTTGATTAAAAATTAATTCAAGTTACATTCCAATTAGGAGTATGAATATTTTAGGGATCTTTACACAAATAGCCGTCCATATTCATATACATAGTTTATACATTGATTATACACAATTATACACATCTAATACATAAATTATGCATATATTTTATCTCCACCGGCTATTTTTAATTTAAGCGGTTGGGTGGGCCGCTATTTGGGTTAATTCTTCAATATTTACCCACTACATATGAGCTTTAACAAGTTTGGATAAATCCAGAGAATATCATCCACACAAAAAAAAAGGCATCATTGGAACACATCATAGAGAAATATGATTGTGTCATCAGCTGCACTTTCCAGTACAACATATTCTATCTATAACAAACCAAACAATCATTAGACAAATCCAAAACCACCTATAAGGCAAATTTAAAATCGGGGAAATAGAAATTTTAGTCCATGTGTTATTGTTTAATTTCAATTTTGGTCCCTGTTTTACTAAGCACTTATAACCTTTAATTTGTTCAAAAATCTGGTTTTGATCCTTGAAGTTAACGAAAGTTAAACATTTGCAAACATAAAACATTACCTAATTTCTCCAATGATAATAACTAGATTGTCCAAAGAATGTGACACTTAGCGAAACCTAAGAAGCAAATACAAATTTATATGTGTAAAATTGCAAACAACAATGGGAATAGACCACAACATAGTACATCTTCTAAAAAAATTAATACCCGCAACAATAAGGAAGAAGAAGCAGCAACAACATAACATTAAACTTAACTGCAAACTCTTTTGACAACAGTTTTTCACCAGATTGAAACTCCTTTTATTTCAGCATGGAGCTAAATAGACAGATTCCCAAAATGAAACAAGAAAGAAGAAAGAACTGGAAATTTATTGGAAGAAATTTCATGATTTTGCATTTGGAAGGTTTAGTGGTATCTTTTAATGGCGGAACCCTTCATTTCATATTTTATTTTTTAATATATTTTTTTAATACTCATCCGTCAAATATTTTTAACTTTCTTTAACTTCAATGGTCAAAACCACGCTTTTAAAAGATTGAAAGGTTATAAGTCCTTAATGTTATAAATATACTAGTTTCTTGATTAGTGCGTTACACATGTTTTTCGGTACAAGCAATAAAAAAATATTAAAATATTATCAAAACATATGAAATATTACACCAAAATTTCAAAAGAAAAAAATACAAGCTAAAAATAATAAATAGTTTTAGAGATGTAGTGTTGAACTCAAATTGACCGGATAGCTCTGCGAAAATCAATAATTATATTTAGTTAGACAAGTGTATTTTATAATTACATAAATTTAGTTGTTATGAGTTACAAACATATAATATGATCGTATATTCACATAATATTTCTTTGTAGATATTGTTCTTGAAGTTGTTCCATTTTGATGTTTCAGCGAAATGATCCGTGCAACAAATAAAAGAGAAACTAATACTTATTTGTACATGATATATTTTTTGTAAAGAATGGAAGAATTAAATATTTGTAAAATTTTGTGAACAATTAAGTAAGAAGTGACTGTCAATAATAAAAACATAACAAAAATTTTTTTTTTTCATAGCTATGCAAAATTATACAAGAATTGATATACTAATTGCAAAAGGTTGAGGGAACCAAAAAGTTTTGTACTTATTTATGAAGGTATAGTTTTTTGAAAGGTATCATAGTCACTTAAGTTTATAGGGTTATTTTGGTCTTTCACATTCAACTTTTGATCTTCATGCTTATGATATAGTATGATTATGGATGTTCATTTAGTACTCAATTGTAAATAAGCTTCCCAAAGAAGCTTATCCATACGGGACTCCGCCGTAAATATGTTTATCTATTTAGTACTCTATTGAAAATAAGCCTCCAGAAGAAGCTTATCACTTCGGTACTCGGCTATGGATAAACATTACCCCCAGTAGAAGATTATCCATACCGGGTACAATAAGCTTATCCTTTCGATACTCCGTTATGGATAAACATTACTGTCACGACCCGAATTTCCCACCCTCGAGAGTCGTGATGGCGCCTACTATTAGGAGCTAGGCAAGCCAATTATTTATTATCTTTTTTTAGCAAACCTCAACATTATTAAAAACAACGAAACATTTAATAAAAAAGCGGAAGTCTTAAATATAAATAAACTGAAAGCAATGCGGAAGTTCAATACAACTCTACCCAAGAACTGGAGTCACAAACTCACGAACGTCTAGAGAATGCTAAATACAATGTCTGAATAAAAACATAGTTTTGTTTGTTCCGGTACAAAGGATAACAAACTAAAGTAAATATAGAAGAAACTCCGGGCCTGCGGACGTCAGCAAGGCTACCTCGGTGTCTCTGGACTGAAGTCAGCTCCCAAATCTACTATTGCTGTCCAAAAGCTGCTCCGGCACCGTGATCTGTGCAAAAAGATGCACAAAGTGTAGCACCAGCACAACCGACCCCATGTGCTGGTAAGTGCCTGGCCTAACCCCGACGAAGTAGTGACGAGGTTAGACCGGACTACCAAACAAACCATGGTGGTTCAATATATATGTATGCAATATAAAGGTATACAGAAATTAACCAGTCAAGGGGGAAGGGGAGCATGTTGTAGGGGCTGTAACAGTTCAGGTATAAAATCAATAATTAAGGAATGAAACAGTACAACTACAATAACAACGAGAGTAGGAAATCAACAGTTGCACGGCACCACCCTTCGTGCTTTTACTCTCGTTCTCACCAAAACAATCATATAGAGTGCACGGCATCATCCTTCGTGCTTTACCTCACAAAATGATGGCACGGAATGATCCTTCGTGCATAAACACTCATATCATGGCACAGAATGTTCCTTCGTGCATTAGTAATCATATCATGGCACGGAATATTCCTTCGTGCATTAGTATTCATATCACAATCGTGCACGACATCACCCTTCGTGCTTTATCACTCGTCCTCACCCAAACAACAATCACAAACAATGGGGCGAGGGAACAGACAACAAAATAGGAATCCCGACAAAGGAACAATAACAATAATTTCAATATCCCGGCAAGGGAGAAAAGTCTACCAAACAGCAAAACATCCCGGCAAGGGAATAACCAATAACTCATTAGCTTTCTTTCATTTCTTACTTCACATCTCACTATATCACTTGAGCCAATGCTCCCAAGAATCTTATAATCTCAAATACCTTTTCAATTCGTATTACAACCAAGCCAATACACCACGAAAATCAAATGATCATAATGTTTTTCACATATTCTTTACAATATATAAAAGTCCTCAATTAACATGGAATTCACAACAAAATCATGATAATCACCCTTTAAGGACTCACGGTCATGCTAGACACCAATGTATAGATACTCGCCACCATGCCTATACATCGTACTCGATCAATTAGCAAATAGCAAACAAGACTCAACTCCTATTCCCTCAAGCTAGGGTTAAACCAAACACTTACCTCAACTTCCACAGCTAAATCAATCCACAACGACCGCCTTCCCTCTCGAATTCGGCTCCAACTCAATTAAATCTATGAAATAATGACTTTACAACATTAATATAAGCTAAACAAATCAAACCCAATGCCTAAATATAGTTTTCTAAGCTTTCTTCCAAAAATTCCAAAAATCGACCCCGGGCCCGCTTGGTCAAAACCCGAGGTTCGAACCAATTTCATATCACCCGTTCCCCCATGAGCCCGAATATACAATTTGTTTTCAAATCCGACCCCAAAACGAGGTCTAAATCAAAGGAAATTGAAAAGCCCTAATTCTACCCATTTCCCCCAATTTCCACCCTAATCTATGTGATTTAAGCTTAGAATTTCAGTAATTAATGAAGAAAAATGAAGGAAATAAGTGGGTATTTACTAACCCAAGTGGACTTGAAGAATAGGGGCTTCAATGGACTCCTAGAAGCTTGGGGAAGAAGAGAGCTCGTGAGAATTAGAGTTAAACCCGTAGCTACTGTTTTGAACATTTTAAAAAAAATCACTGGGCAAAATTGCCCTTCGCGTTCGCGGGAGCAAGGTCGCGTTCGCGAAGGGTTGACTCAACAGACCATCGCGTTCGCGATGAGCAGGATGCGAACGCGAAGAGAAGGACTAGGGGGGGTCCAGGAATTGGCCTACGCGAACGCGTTGTACTACACGCGGACGCGATGAAGAGATGTTGGGAACTACGCGAACGCGAGGATTCAATCGCGAACGCGAAGAGGAAAGAAGACTAAGCCCCTCAGGGTCACTTGACCCTACGCAAAGCAAGGGCTGCGAACACGATGAAGGAAAATTGATGAGCTTCGCGAACGCGTGAGAGAGAGTGCGAACGCGAAGAAGGATTCACCTAGGCACCTGTGGCAGATTTTCTACAACATTTCTAAGTTCAAAACCACCCCGAACACCTCCGAAAACACTCCCGAGCCCCCGGGGCTCCTAACCAAACACACACACTAACTCAACGACATCCTACGAACTTAACCATGCGATCAAATCGCCAAAATAATATCAAACTCAATGAATTAAACCTCAAAATCATCACTTTTTCATCAAACTTCATAAACTTTCATTTTTTTAAAGACTTAGGTCCGAAACACGTCAAATGACGTCCGATTTCAACCAAATTTCACAGAAAGCGCTTAAATCACATATAAGACCTGTACTGGGCGCCGGAACCAATATACGGGCCCGATACCAACACGTTCTAATCTATTTTCGTTTCAAATTTCCATATTAATTTCAGAAAAACAACTTCACAGAAAAATTCATTTCTCGGCTCTAGACCTCGAAATTCGACTCCGGGCATATGCCCGAGTCTCATATTTTTCTACGGACCCTCCGGGACCGTCCAATCACGGGTCCGGGTCCGTTTACCCAAAATGTTGACCAAAGTCAACTTTAATCATATTAATACCAAAATTCATCATTTTTCACACAGAATTCATATTTAAGCTTTCCGGCTACTTGCCCGGATTGCGCACGCAAATCGAGGCGACTAAAAATGAGGTTTTCAAGGCCTCGGAAGCACAGAATGAATGAGAAAACAAGTGATGATCCTTTGGGTCATCACAATTACCCCCGGTAGAAGATTATCCATACCGGATACAATAAGCTTATCCTTTTGATACTCCATTATGGATAAACATTACCCCCGGTAGAAGATTATCCATACCGGATACAATAAGTTTATCCTTTCAATACTCCGTTATGGATAAACATTACCCCGGTAGAACATTATCCATACCTGGTACAATAAGCTTATCCTTTCGGCACTCCGTTATGGATAAACATTACCCCCAGTAGCAGCTTACACAGCAGCTTGCAGTAGTAGCTTAACCAGCAGCTTGAAGTAGCAACTTACACAGCAGCTTCCTTTCTTCTATAAATAGAGGAGATTTCAGTTTATTATATATATAAGTTTGAAGTTGAATAATGTATCAGTTTCTCTCTATAATTGTCTTTAGTTTATTTGCTTTACAATCGTTATTTTATAACACGTTATCAGCACGAGACTCTGCCATCTCGAGCAAATACTTTAAAAGTATCAGAGGTACTGTGACGACCCAACCCGTCGTCACGTGTGTTACCGCCCCGTTTTCCCCATTTTCTATTTCTTTATGCTTCATTATCAGTGTTTGGTGTGAATGAATCGATTTGGATTGGTCCTAGAGGGAAATGAGACACTTAGTCTCTTTTAGGAAGGTTTGTTTTGGAAAAAGTCAACCGGACCTTCACTTAGCTGTTAGAGGGTTCGGATATGAATTCCGATGATTCGGTTAGCTTCAGGGGATGATTTGTGACTTAGGAGTGTAATCGGAATTGATTTTGGAGGTCCGGTGTAGAATTAGGCTTGAATTGGCGAAGTTAGTATTTTGGCGAATTCCGGTTGATAGGTGAGAATTTGATCCGAGGGTTGGAATGGAATTCCGAGAGTTGCAGTAGCTTCGTTAGGTGATTTG